TAAAAATTATTTAAGATTAAAAATTATTAAATATTAAGATATTAAAGATTAAAAATTACTAAGATTTATAACTCTGGTATTAATTTATATTTTATTAATTTATTAATTTATGATAAAAAATTTATATTTATTTTATTTTATCAAAAATGTATTTTTATATAATTTTGAAAGAAAAAAATCACAAATTATAGTAAATTATTACATAATTATTTCATTAAATTTGTAATAATATTTTTTTATTCATGAATTATATATTTTGCAATAATTTATTAATTTATTGCAATATTAAAAATACTTTGAAATATTTTGAATCATAATTTTCAAAGATTTGGAGAAATATTTTTTTGAATTGATCTTGTTGAAAAGATTTTTCCCAATAAAACTGTAACATTGTTTCTTTTATGTATTATCTTTTATTATTCATGACGCACAAGTTGCGTGACGTAGTTAGATATAAAGTTTATACCGCAGGATACTATGGTCTAAGGAATGCTAGGATTAAATTATAAACGACATAGTCGTGGAAAGTTTTGGAATTCTTCGCCGTAATAGTAACAAAGGATGCCTTCTCATAAAAATTTAAGCACACGACTTACGCACATTTAATTTTTATAAAATTTATAAGTTGCTTTGAAAAATAATTGAATTGTATACAAAAAAGATCAATTCTCATTTCAACATAAGATGATGAAAAATAATATTATTTATACTTTAATTTATTTATTGAAATAAATACAATTAAAGTGATTTCTTATATTTCAAATGACTTTGTATTATTTACATATTGTTAAATATTATTAATTTAATAAATTGTTATTGTAATATAGCGATTTATTATAAAATTATTATAAAATTGTTATTATAATATAGCGATTAAATTATTATAAAATTATCAAACAATAATCATAATTAGAAAAATATTGGAAGAATTATGATTATTAGAATAAAAATATAATTAGAATAAAATATAATTTTACAATTGTGACATTGTTTCTCCTTATTCTTCTATGATAATATTTATCCTAAAATAGCGCATTTTTCAAATTACTAAATGGCACATTGAAGTTTGTTAAATCTTATGCAATTTTTGTTTACAACTATGAAAAAAATTTTAAAATAAAAAATAATTTATTTACACATTATTCGATTATCTGATTTAAGAATAAAAAATTGTTTGAAAAAAGTTAGTTAAATTTTATATTTAATTAATATAATGAAAATTAATACTTCATTGAACTCCATCATTCTGCTTTGCAAAATTTATATGTCTACGTGTTTTATATACTACATTTAACTCTTAACATTATTATTAAATATAATAAAAGCTAAATTAGACTAAAATGAAAAAAAAGGATTTTATAAATATAATTATTCCTTTAATTTAAATATTTTTATCAATTCTGACGTATTTTTGATTTTTAATTTTAATATTAGAATTACTAAAATTCCTTCGGTAATAATTTCGTGCAAATTAAAATTTAATATGTGTTTTGTGTGTATTTAGAATTTTTATGATCAATTATAAAATAGAATCATTAATATGGGTAGTTGTTTTTCTATAATACAATTTAAAAGATCTCACGTGGAGATTTATTCTGTGATTTGATTTTTATAGGCTGAACATGTTCCTGCTGAAATAGTGAAAGGAGATATCTACAAGGATAAAAGGTTAAAGTACGTGAGGAATCTAAGGAAAAGTCAAGTTGTAAAAATTTATTTTATTTCCAATGATTCGCAATACGATAAAACACTTATTATAATTAATAGAATCATAAATTTCATTTATTTAATGCACATAATATTCATATATAATTTTATATATTTCATATATAAATAAATTATTTCTATGGTAATATCATTATTGTGCAAAAAATTTGTGCATTCATTAAATACAAACATTCAATAATGTCAAACAATGTTAATGCGAATCATTACATTCATCTTAAAAAAACATTTTTTTTCAATTTTTAATACTCATCCAAGTAAATCCACGAAAACTAGCATTATCGAGTAGATTCAATTCCTTTTTTATCGTTTCATCTTATTTTAAAAATACCAAATATCAAATCTATTTATTCATTTCTGAATAGATTCAATAATAATTCATATTTATTTTTCAAACTTCCTAATACTCATTTGAACGAATCCAAAAACCAAATATTAAATACTAGATACAACATTATCAAATAAATTCATTAATTTCCTCTTTATCCCCTCTATCTAACTCAAACCTCTCGATACTAATCCCAACAAAATCCCACAAACATCATCCATTAAAAAAGATTCCACTGCATCATTACCAAACAAATTCGATACAATTCCCAATGCCAATTCCTCCCTTTACACAATTTTCCTCAAACCTTTTAATACCGCGCGAGTAAAGATAGGAAGAAAAAAAAAAGAAAAAGAAAAGAAAGGAAAAATATCGCGATATCTCCGATTACAGGCAAAGGTGACCGCACTATGGGCAGAAAGGGAAGTCGTCGTCGGAGGCGTCCGAGGGGAGGCGAAAGGAGGGTGGCATCTGGTGGTGGAAGTGGCATTAGGAAGGGGTAGGGCTGAACGCATCCCTGCCAGACCGGCCACCTGCCTACCAACCCTGTCTGCTCCACCACGCTTCCCAGTATTCGAGCGATCGCTACTACTCGCGCACGCAGTTCCCCTGCTGGGATGTGCGTAGACCGCGCCACCGCGCCGACACGCATCGTACTACCGAATTACGTGCTAGCCAACGTAGTGGCAACGTGCTCGAGGTGACGTGTCCGTCGCGATACTCGCAAAGAGAAAGAAAAGGAAAAAAAAAGAAAAAAAGGAAAGGAATCTTCACCTGCCGCTTGTGCACGAGCAACCGCACCAACAATACGTTCGTCACGCCACCGTTGCTCCCCAGCTATGGATCCGCCGGGAATCACCGCGCTGGTATCCCACGAGTGCCCCTGAACGACGCAACCCGTGCGTATCTCGACGATCATTGCGGATTTCGCAGCTCCTCGACTCGGCCGTGTCACGAAGCCTCTCGACGAGATTCGAGCGATAGTTTAGAGCTTGACACGTTTCTCGTTCTTGCCTCTTGTCTCTTGGTGGAAGTTTCGAAACGGACATTGGATGTCAGACGCGAAATTTTGGGAACGAAGATGGATGATCCCTCGTGCGCTTCGGGCCCGCGTGTTTCGATACTCGAAACGTGATTAATGGACACGGTGTAAATTCGGGATTTCGTGGGTCGTTTTGTACGAGAGCCGCATCAATGTTTACCGAGTTTAATAGGTCAAACGAGGAGCACTCTTGCGCTCGAGCCTCGCGGGCAACGGGTTGCTCGTTTCGATTGCCCATCAACGTCCCTCCTCTTTCGTTTATCGCCACTGGGGACTTGTTAAGGACACTGTTAACGAGCAACGAGCTCGTAAGTTTCTCCATGTCGATCGTCACGCGATAAAAAATTTTAGTGGAAAAATTTGCAAATGGGATTACGTGTTCTCGATAGAGGCAATCAATCACCCGATAAGAATGCATAGGATCGAGTTAATCCAACTCAGCTGACGAAGAAATTACTTTTCAACTTTTACACATGTGTACACGAGAATCGAACGTGATACTTAAAAGTTTTGCACGCGTATTAACGAACTTGGTCGATGTATATATATATATATATATCCATATATCCATATATATATATATATATATATATATATATATATATGGAAAGTGACTGGGTGCTTCAACAATCGTTGACCCTAAAAAGAGAAATTAACAGAGAAATATGTCGACTTTGATTAAATTTCTCTATCCTCGTAATTGATCAAGTGAACGAGGTTCGAGGGATGAGAATAACACGAGTGAACGTGAATCGTCGAATCTTCATCGTGGATACTCGGTGATAATTTAGAGTAGGTAGCTTCCTCTGACTTCCTTCTTTCTTTCTCTCTCTCCTTCTCTCTTTCTTTTCTCTCTCTCTCTCTCTCTCTCTCTCTCTCTATCTCTCAGTTTCGACAACATACTTGACACGAACACATGACCATTGGTGTTCCAACGAACGCTGCCTAACATGGCTACGTGTTTCGACCAAGCTACGTTTCAAGCTCTACAAAGGAACGAGGTCATTAGGTACGCGAGAAGACAGGAAGGGTCGAGGGAAGTTGGCCACACGAGAACGAGTTACTCCGCTATTTCTGCCGGGTCCTTTCTTTCATCATTTCATAAGAACGTCATCACGATCAACATTTCGATCTCTTAGACTGATCTCCTCTCGATCTCTCGAAGTCTCAATCGCTCGGCAATTCTAGCAATCTAGTCAAACACTTGGGAAACCGATTGTAACGGTACTAATTCCGATCTCGTTTGAGTGGAACGAAATATCGAATGATCGATCGACCAGAGTGTCTGGAGTGTCACTAATTCCGGCCAATCGGTTGGAAGCGACGGGTGAACGAGCGAATGGGTCGAGTGACAAAAAAAGAAGAACTCAATGACGTAAGAGTGGAAAAGTGTCGAGTTACGATGGAGACAAATCGAAATCCACTTAAATATTGGTGTGTAACTAAGCCGATTGAACTCGCCGATTCGTCGTACGTTGTCTTTTTGATAACTGTTGTCAGATAATGTGCACGTGCAGTGCATCGTTGATCGGTTAAGGTGGAAAGTTCTTTGAGGCGGTCGCGGCGGAAAGCTCTTATTCAGGGGCCGTCGAGCACGTTCTTTATTTGTGCTTAAACGGGGATTAAGTTCGAGGCATTACATCGAGTTGCCCTCAAATTCCTGGTAATTCGAGACACGAGATGCGAAAAGGAAAAACGGAATAACGGATAGAGATAATTTGAATTCTGAAAGAATAAATTAATTCATACGAAACACTTATTGTTGAGAACAACATCAAAAAAAGAATATTGTTCTCAATTAGATGTCTCGAAGGCAAAGGATCTAAAATAAAGATAGAAGAATCTTTTCGTCTAAGAAGGAAGAAATTATCTTTACTTATATTTACTTCGAAAGGCTCGCTCGAACGTCGTTCATCTTAATGGAAGCACTCGAGTCATTAATGGTCTAATTAACTTCTCCTATTGAACCCCATCGATCGAGGCACAGAACGATCCTCTTGTTATTTAACCAGCATCGATCATCAACAAATGAAACTTCGAATCGTTGAGAAAAATTTGTTGAGAAACTTTTCGAAAGGATGAAAGCGAATATAATAATAATCGTTTTTTTCGGTCCTCGATCGGTCTTCGTGAAGCAATCGGTAAAATAGAGAAATCTATTCTTCTTGATTAGAGATCTCGAACGCTGTCCACAAGATGAAAGAAGAGAGAAGATAGTCGGCTACATGTTGTCCCGATTCATTCGAGATCTTTCAGTGGATAGTGCTGTGGAAGAAAGAGGAAAGAAGAAGAAGAAGGGGGAGGATTCTGGTGTGCCGGTTTTGTGACCGTTCGGTCAGCGGGCCTTGGAGAAGTCCCGCGACGGTTCCTATTACAAAGTGGTCACAATCGAGGCCGGTGAACGTAATGTGACCCAGATAGGTGAAGAGATGATGACGGTGACTCCGTCCACCTCCGATGTCGCTGACAAGGCAGTGTCCACGGACGATGGTGGCAGTGGTATGGAGGTGGCACGCCTCGAAGCCGTCCTCGCCGCCCTGGTGGAGACGAAAGTGGAGGCGATCAAAGCATCCTCGGCTTTGGGCAAGCGTTCTGGTAGCGCGCCAGCCAGCCCTCGCCGGCTCAGACTCACCTCGACATCGACCGCCTCCTCCTCCCTTAATCACCAACATCGAAGGAAGAGTCATCATCATCATCATCACCATCACCACCATCACCACCATCATCGTAGGAGGCACGACTCGGCGCCGTGCAACGACTTCATCGATGACTCCACCGATCATCGGCACAATGGACATCATGGTGAGTTGGATTGTTATCGTTAAGACTTGATTGATTGTATTTCTTTTCTTACGAGAGAATTTGAATTTGGAACCAGTTTGCACCAGAATTCTTCTGGTACAGACAAGTGTATGTTTGGTGTAAAATTGATAAGATATATTGTCAAATAGTATTGACGACTGAAAAAAAAAATGTAGTGATTTATTATTAGCTATCAAGAGGAATTAGAATCCATAGATTTCTTTTTGATTTTTTGTCTTATATATGAAGTTATATATAATATATAATATATATATATATAATATAAAGAAATTATACTTATTTTATATTTAATTTTCTTAAGTATTTTAAATCCGTTGTTCTATTATGTGAACATTTTTATCTTCTAATTAATCTGTATAACTGAGATTTTATTATAGTTAAAATGTCATATATAATATTTAAAAACATATAAAAATTTTGTCATTTTTATTATATTTTTTATTAGAGAAGGTAAATTAAATTTGATTCTTAAAAAAACTTTCTAATTTTACTTAAAAGTTGAAGAATGGAAATTAATTTAACAATTGTCTTTATCTAAAATTTTTATTTTATTGCTTATTATTAGGAGAATTAGGAGAATTAGGATCCATAGATTTCTTTTTGATTTTTTGTGTTATATATGAAGTTATGCATAATATAAAGAAATTATACTTATTTTATATTTAATTTTCTTAAGTATTTTAAATCTTTTCCAAATCTAAATCCAATTTGTTCTATTATGAACACTTTTATCTTCTAGTTAATCTGTACAACTGAGATTTTTTTATAGTTAAAATTTCATATGTAGTATTTAAAAACATATAAAAATTTTTGTCATTTTTATTATAGAAGGTATTTTTTGTTAGAGAAAGTAAATTAAATCTGATTCTTAGAAAAATTTTCTAATTTTATTTAAAAGTTGAAGGATGGAAATTAACTTAACAATTGTTTTTCTAAAATTTCAATTTAAAATTTTTATTTTATTGTTTAATAAGTTTAATTAAAATTCAAAGATTTTTTTTTCAATAATAAAATCTTATTTGAAAGATTAATTTTTTGAAGCATATTAAAATTAAACTTTAAATACTGTATAATATATTATATTACAATGATTTTTTTATACGAAATATGATCATATTAAAAACAGAAATATAAATTATGCGTTATATTATATTTCCTAAAGTTTCATATAAAAGATTAATTATTATACGTTTGCTAATACTTGTATGAATTATTCTACGCATCTTTGACAAATTAATGTTAAAGAGAATCACTTTGAGAAGGTTGCAACAATATCCAAGGTGTGCTCTTTAAAACAGAAAGTTTCCACAGCAGACTTTAATGGTCTGATGATAGTGTTTGACTTGTGTTTTGTCTGAATTCTCTTTATCCCTTTGAAACAACACAATACCCATAAGAGGGAGTGTTTGTTTGAAGGTTAAATTGCCTCTTAAAGATTTTTCTTGAAGAAAATCTTTCACAATTCTTGAATTTTCTCCCCAGTTGTCCCATAATTCTGAAACATTCAACAGCAGACAATAATCATAATTTTTGTCAAAAATTGCATTGATTTTATTTTACAAATCTAAATCCAATTAAATGAAAAAATGCAACGAATGAACAATATAAGAAATAGAATAGAAAGCAGGGAATAATGGATGCATGCAAAAAAATTTGCATTAATTAGTCCCACGATTATCGAATATTATTAAATCATTTAATTGAATTTTTAGTTCTCTTGGTGGATTGCATCGATGGGCGAATCAATATGTGGAGCAGATAGAAATTATTCGAAATTGAAGTGGATGGCACTTTTTTTTTTTTTTTGTTTTTTTTCGATCTCGTATTAATTTAACGCTTCGTATTAAGAATATATTACCTTTTGAAATTTATTGGTTTTCATTTACTGTCAATTTAATGACACTTGAATCAGTATTGCAGAACACGGGGTGTATTGGAAAAAATTAGATTCTCTGAAGAGATACTCAAAAGTATCAAAGGACGATTCAAAGTAAAAAGGAATCAAAGTAAGAAGTCTGTTCAATAGTATATGTATAAGTAAGTAGTATAAGTAAATATTAGAATTGACTAATGATCAATACCAAGAATTATATTTATATTTTTTTAATAGATACATAAAATCATCAAATTTGACAATGATAATTTGTTTAAATTTTATTTATATTCAAATATATTTTTAATATTATTCTATTAATTAAAAAATTTTCATATAATAATATAATAACCAATTATCAGAATTTCGATCATTCAATGACCGATTATTCGCGCACAAGTATTTATATTTAAAGTTAAATAATTGAAAATATTTATATTTTGAGAAATGTATCTAAAAATTATTAATTTATCAATTATTAATCACAAATTTTTTCTATTTATTAATTAATAATATTAGAAAATTAACAAATTGATTCCATTATTATAAATTATCTTTTATAATGATAATAATCTATTAATTTGATAATTTTCTAGAAAAAAATCTAAATCAAAGTCATATTTAAATCACAGGATACTTTGTATAAATAATAAAATATCTAAAAAAATTGATCATTATAATTAAAATCATGAAGATTTTATAAAAACAAATCTCTATATAATTTTTGAAACAATCTAATACAATTTTTTATTCCTATAAAAAAAAAAAAGAAAATGGAATGAACAAAAATGAATTCGTAAAAATAGCGTTAGTATGGATGTTGTCAAGATGGCGACAATTCCTTGACAGAGATACAATTTCTTTACGAGATTTTGTGGGATGAAAACGAGCGAAAATGAAAAATGGACGAGAAAGAGGACTAATGACCCAAGATCGACCCACGCATGACCACAAACGAAAAAGGTTATTAAGGGCATCTGATGAAAATCATTTTCCAACAGAAATTCAAATATTCATGCTTTCCATTAGATCTTCGTGAAATTATTATCGACCGATTACTAGTCTCTCTCTCTCTCTCTCTCTCTCGTGATGAGAATGTATCGAAAATGAATTCATTTTGGACGAAGTACAATCCAAAATCACGAAAAAACTTATTTTATTATATACATTTTGCAAGAGTTCAAACAATTTATGTTGTGTTATTATCGTCATTGGAAATTGTGTTTAATGAAACTTTGCGAGCAATAGAATTAAATATTCATTTTGTCAACTGTAGATATATGGATCATTAATCAATGTTCTATTCATGTTGCATACAGAGAATGCACGATTAAGCATGCCATTGTTTATTCGTAAATGTGCAACATGATGAGACGTAGTAATTGTGAATTTATTTTATGATGTTATACACTCGTTGCAAAAAACTATACAATTTAAACATATGCACACGCACATACAATTGAAATCGAAATTTTCAATACAGGTTTTTTTAAAGAAAAAAATTTTTTTCATGATATACAAATAATTATAATAAATAAAATTATTTTCAAATTCATAAGAGTGAAAATTTTATGAATTATATTTATACATTATGTATATTATAATTTAATCAAGATATTTAAATTGATTGATTTCAGATATCTTCACAATTTCTAAAATTGTGCAAAACTTTTGACAAAATTAATAATAATATTATTAAATAGAATATAATTTTTATATTTTTATATTATTAAATAGAATATAATTATATATAATTTATATATAATAATTTTCATGATACTAGGTTTCAATCCTAATAATTCATGTGTAATATATATGGAAATACATATTATTGATTGATAATTTGACTGTTAAATTACATTCTATATTTAAAATAGATTAAATATACCATAATATCAACTTTTTTGCAGTACTTTATAAAATTCATTATACCATTAGATGAGAAGTTACATAAAATTGAGTAATCTATTCATAGAAAAATTACTCTAAAATGATGAGACATAGTAATTGTGAATTTATTTTATGATGTTATACATTCGTTACAAAAAATTATACAGTTTAAACATATGCATACGCACATACAATTGAAATAAAAATTTTCAATATAGGTTCTTTTAAAGAAAAAAATTTTTTTCGTGATATACAAATAATTATAAATAAATAAAATTATTTTCAAATTCATAAGAGTGAAAATTTTATGATATGATATATTATACATTATATATATTATCGAGCTATTCAAATTGGTTGATTTCAGATATTTTCACAATTTCTAAAATTGTGCAAAACTTTTGGCAAAATTAATAATAATATTATTAAATAGAAGTATAATTATATATAATTTATATATAATAATTTTCATGATACTAGGTTTCAATCCTAATAATTCACGTGTAATATATATGGAAATACATATTATTGATTGATAATTTGACTGTTAAATTACATTCTATATATTCAAAATAGATCAAATGTACCATAATATCAACTTTTTTTGCAATACTTTATAAAATTCATTATACCATTAGATGAGAAGTTACATAAAATTGAGTAATCAATTTATAGAAAAATTACTCTAAAATTATGCTGTAACGATTATACATCGTATGATAAATATCTTTTACAACAGTCATACCATTCTTATGAAGCATATATATATATAAATAATAAAAATATGATATGTTATTTGAAATTTGAACATCTCGAATATTATCAAATTTCAAAATTTCTAAATACACATTATATTCATTTTTAATGCCTCTGTGTCTAAATTTAACTTATTGTAAAAATAAATTTTACTCTATATAAAGTGCGCTGATATAATTTATATTTTGACGTAGGGTTAGCTTACGTCAAAGAATAATTTGCATAAAGCGTAAATCGATAAATACAATGATAATATTCTTTCATAAAATTTACCCTAAAAATTTAAAAACATAATTTCTATTTTATAAATATCTTTTCCAACATTTTCACCTACAATTGTCTTATTGATGTAAATCTTTTTTCAAATAAAAAAATATGTATGTTATTGATGAAAGACATTCATAATGTGATCGATACAGATGAAATCATAATTATATTAAATATCACTTGTAATTGCTATATTTCACACGATTATTATTTTAAATCAAAAATATTTTATAAAATTTTTATATCTTATAAATTATCAATTGCAAATGATTTTATTAAAATGTATAAAATTTCGATATAAAAATTTCATCATTGGAAATGTCACAGTTATTCAAAATAAATAACTCTATTTTTTCATTAAAAAGTTAAAAAAACCTTCGAAACATGATAATTGATTGTTCCATTAATAGAAATTCCAATAATCGAGATTCTACTGAATAAAAAAAATTAATATGCTTGAATATTTTCACAAGTACATGCATAAATCGAAAGATTTCAGAAACTAATCGGTACAAATTCTTTGAAAATCACTTGCATAGTTCAAAGATTCCCGCGTCTCGATCAATATTTACTTTCATAATTCAGTGTTGACTCAGTATTGATCTGTCAACTGGAAATTTAAACCATTATTCTGAAATGTTTTTCAAGGAATATGATTTTCAACGACTCGAAACGCATTGTCATAATTGCAATTATTCATATGATAAATGGAAATAAATGTTGCATTGTTGCAGGTAAAACACGGCGGAGGGCGTCAGAAAGTCCACGACGTCCAAAAAAAAAGCGCAAACACTCGAAAAGCCCGCACATCCTTCACGGTGTAATCCAAGACGTCCCAACAGGTCTTGATTCACGTTTAGAGCTTTTTGGGATGGATGGTGATCAAGATCTCGCATTGATAAACTTTGAAAGGACTCGAGAAACTCTCAGCGATTCCTGTGAATATCCACAGTTGCACCGAAGTGCCTCATATTTTCCCCAAAGTACTGCTCAATTGTAAGTCTAATCGTAGTATTATTTCGTATTATTTACAATGACATTAGATCATTAGATCATAGTGTTAGATCATTCATATCATGAATCATTCATATCAATCAAGAAAGTTCTATCATATCATCTTTTACGATCTTTTAAGAATTTTAAATCTGTGCAACGATATTTTTGTTTTTAGGTTAGTATGTCGATTTATGTGGAGATTTGGAACAAAAATCATAAATTTTAAATCAATTAATTCTACAAAGTGATTATCTTTTTAATATGATTTTAATATAAATTGATGTTTATTTTCTATCATTTAATTATTTTTCTTATTTTTCTCATCCTTATGGATGAAAAAATATCTAATTTTCTAAATTATTGTATTTATTTATTACGTAGCATATAATTATCTTTATTCCTTGATAACAATCACTTTGTATCTCTGAAACAAATGAATTTGATTATTGATGTAAATATTCAATTATATCATGATACTTATTAATCAACGTTAATGTATTTATTAAATGTTTCATCGTCACGATTGAAAATGTTAATACGTCATTCGATATATTTAATCATTTTTTTTTTCAAATGTAAAATCGATCACGAGGAATTAAAATTTTTTAATGTTTTTTACGTTAATTCATCATTTTTTGATAATTAAATTCATCAGGAATGCATCTGGCAATAAGAAAGAAAAAATTTCACGTTAAAATTTTACATTATGTAGAAAAAGAATTTGTTGTTGTTATTATTATTATGTTATTGTATTAATGATCGTTTAAGATTAAAATTAATTAAAAAAAAACTTTTTTAATATTCGAAATAGTAAAATGATTTTCACGATTTCGAATTGAAAAGTTTGATTATGAAATTATCATTAAATTGCAATTTCGGCATTTCAATGTTGTAATTTAGAGAGAAAATAAAGAGAAATAGGCAGTGGTAAAATTTATAATTTGAAATTAAAACTATTTCGAAGTATTTAGTGAAATAATTTTCGTAATTTTGACTCGGGAATTCTCAATTTTAGTGTCACAAAATTTAGAGATGATAAAGATATTGAAACTCACAAATATGTAGCAAAATAATTTATTGAACTAACTTTGAATTGAAAATAAAAATTTGAAAAATTAAAAATTTCAGCGTCAAGGAAATGACAACAGAAAAACAAAAGAAACGATAATTCAATAACAAAATTTCAAAACATTTAATGAGAAAAATTTTAGTAGTAACTTTTCTTTCAACAATACTACCAATCATTAACAATTAAAAAATTTCACGAACATAACAAAGAAATAATAAAAATCGTAATCCAAAACGTTTTACAAATAATCAAACATTTTTCTTCAAGCTCAAACATTAAAAATCCTAGAAATATCGCTTCAACTTTCACACTGTACCTTGTTTATTTCCGTCTGGTACAAATACCCCTTTGCAATATTGCAATTTCAAAGGATGAGACGAGGAGACATTCGTAGGCGTGTTTGCGAAGAAAAGAGAAAGAGAGAAAGAGAGAGAGGGGAGGAACTCGATTTAAGTGCAATATACTGCAGAACTGGGTCATCGTCGGTGCGTAGTTGCACATCGTTGGTCTCTTCGTTAGATGTTCCATCCAATACCATTTTATAGGAGGATCGCCAGGCGAACAAAGCGTATTCGACCGTGTAATGAAACTCAGATTGTCGGTGACGGTTGTTACGTGGAAAAGATCAAGAGGAGAGACGTTATTTTGCCAGAAGGCATTTACTTTTTCATCAATCCGCTTCGACGATCGAGTTTTTTCTTTCTTTTTTTTTTTTCTCTTTTTCATTTTAAACGTTACTCAGGAGTGCACGACTTTTATACGCACAGAGATAAACTTCACGTTGTTTTTAATTTAATTTTTATAGTAATTTTTATAGTTATAATTTTAATTTTAATTAATTTTTATATTAAAGCGAGGATATATTTTATTGGAAATGGAAAATCGTAAAAAAAACTGTAAAATTTGATATTCATACATTTTATGCATGTGAAAAATTTAAATGAGTTTGTGAAGAAATATCGATGTAAAACTATGATTTTTTATTTAATGATTAAAATTTGTTTTGTATCGAGTCTTCAATTATTTTTATTCTATTTTTCAAATTATGTTATGTTCATACAGATAAATAATTACGATAGATTTTTGTGTAGGAAATATTGATTCACAAATTTACATATTGATTAAATATTTTTTTTTTCAACAAATTTTTTTCAATAAATATTTCATACTTTTGAACGTTTCCTTATGTAATAGAATATCGATTATCTGAACACGAGATCATTCTGAAAAAAATGATTTTCATTTTGTAATTAATATTAATACTAATAGCTATGTATTATTTTAAATTCATATTTAAAAATTGTTTAATTTTTAATTATTTCATAAACAAATTCTTCCTTTATCCTATAATGAATTTGAAGAAGCCTCTAACTTTTTTTATTTATTAATATAAATTTTCTATATACATTGTAATATAAATTATTTATATATATATTTTATATATATATTGAATTTTAAATTAACGAAACTGAAAGAAACATTAGAATTTTTAATTTCTTTCTACATTATCAATTTCACGTAGTATTGTACCAAAATCTGACTTATCATTGGACCATACTACTTATAGCTCTACTAGATTTAAAAGACAACAGAAATAACACGTTTCTACGAGCCAAAGCAATATATAATATGTTTATACAGCGTACAGTTGGCATAAGATCGACAATAGCCCTCCTTTTGTTCGACGTAATGATGTGGTCCCCTCGCCCCCCTCCCTTACAAGCTGCTGCACGCTGAAGCACCTCTATCCATATTTTTATCATGATTCTTCCAATTACGATCTTATTCTCTTCCAAGATTCCTTGATTTTCCTTCCAATTTCATCTTTATCCTCCTCATTAATCTTTATTTTCGTTATATAATCGCAAATTTTCTCACGTTATATGTATATATATATTTATTTAAATTTTATTTATTATAAAAGTATATATCACTAATAATTTCATTTAATTCGTGAAGATTAGATAAATGTGTATTATTAATCTTCAGATTCTTTTTTTTTTCTACTCGTAACTTTACGAGTTAACGTTTTTTTTTTTTACATTTTTATTTTATCGTTATCAGTTTATAAGATGGCCTATAGATNTATGTATATATACACTTTTCTTTATTTAATCTCAGTTTAAAAAGTAATACTTGAAAAATATGGCATGACCTATATTACGAATACGTCAGATGTTTTATCAGGCGGCTTTGTCCGACACATTTCTGGATCGAGCCACTTGTACGAAAGTTGAAACGTCTTTAATTATGGATTAACCCGCTAAAGGATCAGAAACGATACCGCGGTAAATATAACGCGTTCATTAATTTCGTGATTTCTTAACAAAGAAAATACGTTGCCATTAGTGAAATTAATTCATCAGAAATTGATATCAGTGATATCGGTAAAAAATTGATATTTGATTAATTTAAATATAAGCATTTTATCGTCTCCCAAATTTATTTAAAACAAACATTATAAATGCACGAAAATATGAGATGAATTAAAAGCTTTGTATAACGATTGAATGAGAATTTCAATGATAAAATTAAGATATATAGCGATAATTATATTTCTTGATCACTTGCAGGTTTTAGCTAAAATTTATTATTTTTGTAAAAATTGCAAATTTATTTTTATTATTTTATTTTTTTATTTTTCGCAATTGTTGAATTGTCAAATTTCAACAATAGAATTTGCAAAATATTTTGTTCTTTATAACAGTTGCAATATATTTCTATATTTAAATGGAAAATATAAAATTTATTATAATTAGATATATAATAGAAGTTTTAATCAAGTAAAATAGCAATATATATATTTTTCTATATAATGTAAAATTCAATTTTATTTTAATATATTAATTTTAAAAGGTTCCATCATTTTTGTAACAAACATAATTCAGAAACAATTTCAAGGATTAATATATAATTTTATTTAGAAATCTTTTTTTTGTATCTTATATATATAAATTTTTTTTTTTAGTATATTTTTGATTTGAAATATTTGTCTTTTTACATCGTATTTTACTTATGTATTTTACTTATGTATTTTTACTTTGTTAATATTATTAATTCTAGAAAAAATTTTATTATTTGTTAATTCAATGAAACATATAAATCGATATATATTATATTTTTTATTTTTTCATTTTTCATTTCAGCTGAATAAAATAAAATTTTAAAATGTCTCAAATCTACGTGTTGTATAAAGGATATTTTAATTAAAAAATAAAACGTAATAAATGTAAAAATATACAATATAGTTCCACATATCCCAGAGACACATTGAATATTTTCCTTGCAAAATTTAATAAATATTTCATGAAAAAAAAATGCTTTGAAGAATATGTAAATGATATAAATACTTTTTCTCGAGGAAATCGATCTGTCACGATTAAAATCGGGATTTCCTATTAAAATTTTAAATATCGTGTATTAAATTGTATATTAAATTTCGTTGAACTATTTGAATTAACATGTATCAATCGAATTAAAGTTTTGATTGAAATTATTATTTATATTAATTTGATAATTACACGTTTTTTCACTGCCAATAAGATTGCTTTCGACAATAATAATACAATAATTTTATTCAAAATTAAAATTCGTACTTAAAATTTTGATTAACCATTTCTAAATTTTAAAGAAATTTTATAAAATTTATTATTTCAATATAATCATTATAAATGTAATTTTTCTTTAAATAAAATTCTTTTCGATAATGGATTCTGACACATCAAATGTCGATATCACTTCTAATTTATTAGTCGAGCAACTATAAGTATCGATTTAGTTTGCAAAGAATAATACAGTATTTTACTTTATGCTAATAGTGGGTTCTTCCAAGACATAGATTGCAAAAGTGTATTGAAATATTTAACGGTTGAACGAAACTTTGTCAATGTTATAAAGTTTCACTCTTGTATTTTCGGCGTAGATCTTGGAAACTATTAAATATTAATTTCAATTTTGTGGTTTTGGGAACTTTATACAGAATGTCTCTCGATCCTGAAAAGAGGTGATTATATACGAGAAAAATTAAATAAAAAAAAGAAAATAAAATTGCGTTGATTTGAAAAATTAATTTTGATCAAACTCTTGAAGGAAAAATGTTAAAATTTTTTTTTAATTCCAGAAAATTAAAGATAAAAATGAACTTGAATGGTAAAATCCGTGTATATATTCGTATTGTTATGAAAGTTTAAAAAAAAATCGATTGGATAAATGTAAATTTTTGTTTGTCATTTTTTATAATTATTCTCGATTTTAGAAAAGATAAAATTTTATTGTTTTTTATATTTATTTCTTGAACCATTTAAATTTAACCTAGTACTCCTGCAATTGTCTATAATTTACGGATCTCCCTGTAGATTTAGTACTACAATATAGTACTTTACTACAATATAGTATTTAATATCGTAAGATATTGCACTGGATAATAGAGAACACGGCCACAAGTTGTATCTTTTCACGATTATGTGAGCGAAAGTTATCCAAGGAAAATTGCTTTGCTTTTCCTTTACTTCAATCTTTGAGTTGGATAGACTAGAACAGCGATTCTCAATCTGTGGATCACAAATCTCAAAATTTTTCATTTTTTCATTATTACATTTTATAGCGTTGATAAAATTATTTTAACAATTATTTAATTCAATACTTTTCACTTGAAATAAAGTGAAAAGTGAAAATATTGTATTTAGTTTTTCATATGCAAAATTGCAATACTACTAAATTAAAGATAATCAACTTTTGAAAAATAAATTCTAACTTCATTTTCATTTATACAATTACAAATATAAGATATTTATATTTTTAAAAATAATGTTGCATAATTTCATGTTAATTTTTTTCATGTATCTTGTCAATTTATTAAAAAGCTTAAGAAATAAGATACTTTTTCTATCTGTTGAATAAAAAATGAAAAGATTTTAATCTACAAATAAATTCAATATATTTAAGCAATCAATTAACTGAAAGCAATTTTAATTTTATCATTATACTGCGAAATAATATCATTATACTGCGAATAAATAATAACTATTGTATTCCTTACAAAAAGTCTTTTCATAAAACATAACCTTACTTCGTGATAAACGAAAAATGGAATATATCACTTAGTATGCCGCATTTATCAAAAAATTACTATATATAATTATAGTAATTTAGTTTAGTTTATAGTATTATACAATATATAATTATTATATTATGGCCTCGTTTATATCATGTAAATATTCATTAACAAAGTTTTTTTTATTATACTTGTTTTTCTAACTACACTTTAAACTGTAATTCTATTGCGACATCATTCATTATTCGTCGTAATTTCAAAATTCATTTCAAAATCAAATGTTTAACAAAAATAACGAGAAAGCAAAAAATTTTATATCTTGCAGAAAGATTCACTACGACGACGACGATTACGTGGCGTTGAACATAGCGGATGAGCTGGAAGAAGAAGAGATCTTGAGCGGTACTGAGAAGATCGAGGCACCTCGGGAGAAGTATCACCGGCCACGTAGAAAGAGGAAGCGGAAACGGCGCAAGATTAACAATACCGGTCCTCAAGAAGAGCTTGTCGATCCTGAAGAACTTCCACCACGGGCGCGTTGGACGATCGTGGCCACAGCTTGCCTCCTTCTCACCATGTCTTTGCTCTTGGTCGGGGTTACCCTTAGAATGGCGCCAATCATCGACGACATGGGTGAGTAATTTAACAAAAAAATTTTGATTGAAAAAATTGTTTATCAATTTCTGTAAAATAGACGAAACTTTTATTTGCGATGAAATTGGGATAGGATTTCATTGTATTGGAAAAATAATAATTGATCCAATTTTAAAATTTGAAAATTTTGGAAAGGATATTGTTGATTCAATTGGAAAGGGAATATATAAAGATGTTATATTCGAAAGATAAAGGATTTAAAGGAACAGAAGAGATCAAAAAATAAAAATTAGTAAAAAAGATTAAATATTAATTATTTGTAATACTAAACACAATTTTTAATTGCTTAACAAATAAGCATCTTAACTTTATATTTTTCTATACCAACTTTTATATTTATTTTGACCTCTAGAATTGATTCTCTATACGTATTTAATTTTATATAATATACACTGCTATTTAAATACTTTGAAATGTTTAAAAATAATATTATAAATTTATAGTAAAATTAAATTTAAAAGTAATTTATTTGTAAGATTCTGCAATTACTCATATCAATTTTTTTATTGCATATTATATTTTAAAAATAAATTTTTGTTTTATTATAATATTCTTTCATATCAGTAATCATATAAAATAAAATAAATAAAGATTTTCAAATAGGTAATTTTCAAGTAGTAATTTTATGATTAAATTATATACATAGTTAAATATATACATTTAGTTAAATATATACAAGTGTTAAAAGATTTAATACTGAAGTGTTAAGTTAAAATATTTATTATGCGATTTTAAAACATAGAATTTAAAACTGAAATAATTATAAATCTCAGAATCGATACTGTTGATTGAAACCGTATAACCTTAATTTGCTTAGATAATTATGAAATCCACAATATAATTGTAAATTTTTACTGAAGCATGTATAAAATAACGAAGTACATTTTAATCAATAATATTATTATCTTCTGTAAAAAGAAAATATTCGATAACTATTTTTTGAATAAAATTATTTGAAATCAAATAATATTTTTAGTATTTTATAAAAAATTTACATTAATGATATTTTATTTTATATATTACGAAATAAAATATTGCAATTATATACAATGTAAAAGAATTTCGATCTCGATTTTATAATATCTTAAGAAAGTTTAGAATCTAGCAAATTTAGAGCACGTCTCCAGAGAAGCTTCTTTGAATTAACGATAAAATATACAAGCAACCTCTAGAGAGATGACCTCTAGTTACAATCATAGCGTGTTAATGTTTTATTGTACCAATATCTTTCCTAATGAGTATAATTCTATTTATTTGCTATCTGATTATATTCGAAGTTATGTTGAAATTTTCGTTAAAAATGCAATCACTCGTTTAGATTTTATTTCAGAATAATTTGTTTATAAAATTTACACGTTAATACTACAATATTTAACAAATTTAGTTTTCGTCTTCGCTTTTAGAGATTATGGACACGATTGATGATAGATCTTCTTGTTTGGTCGGTAACCCCGCAATCTTCTTTTTTGAAATGTATGCAGCTAATAGGTTATGGAATACTGCATTCTACGTACATACAGTTTTTCATATTTTGACTGTCATAACTATTCGCAATAATATTTCCAAAAGATGCATCACAATTATTCGTTACATATTCGATTTCGTTTCTTGCAGATATATGCTTAGGAATCATCTTCAAACGATAAAGTTATATTAAATATTTTTGATTGATGATCAAAAATAGTTCACTACCTAAAAAAAATATAATATATCATAATACTATAAATTTCAAACTTTTATTTTCCAAATTTTATACAATATAAGATTATACAATTTACAATTAGATGAAAGAAGGAATAATTATAATTGTATTAAATAAATTAAAATTATCTTTATACGTTAAAAAACATTATTTATTAAAATCAAAATTCACATTACCATAAATTAGAAAAATTTCCAATAATTAAAATAATTACTTTATACTAAAAAATTATTGCTTTAGAAAATCAACTTCTGTTTTTAATTAAAATTTTCAAAATCGATAAAAACACTCTGCGACGTCTCACGGAGCCTCTCAAACATCTTGAACATCGCTATCTGCTGTTCGTCAAAAGTCATTCACACGAGGATACCAAGAAAAGGACCTCCATTTTCAGTGCACGATCCATTCTCGAAGAGCACGAGCAAGAGGTTAATTTAAATATCCTATTTTTTGAAAATGGCGAAGTCGCGACCTTTCTGGCCAATTAACACGGCGGGATTGTGTATTCAGTCGATAGCACTCGAGCAACGGTATCCAACACGAAAAGCCACTTTTGGCCAAGGATTTGTGTACGGGATACACGCAGACACGATGTACACATGGACAGGAACGGGCGTATGCAGTGTGAAAACTCGAGGGCGCTCCGTGGCTCTAAATTAAAGGCGCACGTCTGCGAATTCTCCAGTCAGTCGTCGGATTCTCGTGAAGAAACCGCATCTCATTTCGCTATTTACTATACCTATCGAACGAGAGAGAGAAAAAAGTTCGAAAAACGAGTCACGAGTGCATCGATGCCGGATTGGCCAGTGTTTCACTCACGAATGAAAACAGCTTCGTTCGTGTCCATGTTCTATTTTCGCTCGAGCAACACGATTTCCTATTCGCGCATTCGTCACGTGTAGTTTTACAATTGCGGTTGGTTACAGCCGTTGCTTTGGAGGATGGGTGTATTTGTCTTTGTGGCTTATTTGTACAGTGGGAGTGGGGTTCGAGTGATCTATCGGAACTGAGATATCGGTGGAATTATAAGCGAATTAAAAATCGAAAGTGGTACAGTGGGAAATAGCATGTAAAATTCAGAAATTTGTTTTTTTAATTAGGCGTTAGATCTATAACTTAATTTGATAGGATTTAGTTCGTTTTTTAGGTTAGAGGTATTTGTAATTTTGATTTAAATATTTCGTAAGATGTGAAGAGTGTGATAGAGTAAAGGTATGAGAGTCTATAGTATTTTTATAAAGAAACGTAGTTGGAACTATGAATATGATTTTGAATATGATTATTCCATTAACAAAATATTAAAATCTATTTTTTTTTCTCGTCGAGAAAAATCTGTATTCGTTCACATATATATATATATAACTACTAAAGGTAAGTTCTTTCAGTAAGTTCTGATTAGTTTCATTGTTAGCTTCAAATTTTTTCTATATATATAAATATTCTATTATCGTTTAAATGAAAAATTTATATTAATTTATATAAATTGCTCTTAGATTAATTTAATTTTTCTATTTAGAATGTTCCTAATATGAGATCTTATGCTATTCTTAATATGAGATACATATAATTATAGTAAGAATATATTTTTGATAATATTATTTTTGAATTATTGAATATAATTTGAATTATTATTTCTATGTTATATTCTTAGTTAATTCTTTATCGCAATTTCCCCTTCTTATTGATAAAAAAGAAGAACAATAGATTCTATGTATAAAATGCTAAAAGTCCATGAATATTTGGATATTGCATTTATTTGTCTGAATTGTCTTGTTCTCATTACGACTTGTTCTCAATTATCAATGCAAATTATTACCAACATCAATCTTAAGAGATTAATGAACTCAAAAGGAAAAAAAAATAATTTATTGATCGCACAAAATACAAGTCTTGTATTTTACAAAAAAAAAAAAAAAACAAAAAATATAATTTATTTCTCCGAGAAATAAGAAATCATTTAGCACAAGGATTACTTTTTTATTAGATTTTATATATTCAAATCATTTCAATATCATTTGATTGATTAAAAAATATATAAAGAAATATCGATAATTACACATTAAAAATAGTATTTTTTTTCAATTAGAAGATTTGAAATTTTTCTGTAATGATTTTCCGAAACAAAGTTATCGAAAATAATGGCGAATCTTTTATCTTAAAGAAATAAAAGTTGTGTGATTTTTTTCAAATAAATAATAACTTTATTTTATAAAGGCATCGAATTAATTTCTAAATTTAATATTTACTTTATTTTGAGAATTTGTTGTTGATATTGATGAAAAACAATTTTCATAACTTCTTTTTTCTTAAAGATACTTGAAAGACAGAAAAATTTTTTGAATTCACAAAAACATTATAAAAATTTATTAAATTAAACCTAATTTATTTTTGTTATATATCTATTTTATTTTTTTTTAAGTACTTGCAACTATATAGTTATAGTTACTAAAAATTTCAATTCTAATTGTAAATCAAAAATTATTTTTCGTATTTCTTTTATATATATACATATGCTATGCTTTAATATAATATAAAATATTTTTATCGCTTTATACACATTTATTTTAAATATAAAACATAAATCAAAATTATTAGTGTTTGAATATTTTTTGTAGTAATTATTTTAAAAGTAATTGAAATATATGTAAATTTCAACTGCCAAATTTTAGAGCAAAAATAATATCAGAATAATTCATTAAATATAAATATAAAATAAAAGAGTTAATTACATTATTAAATTTCAATTTAATATCATCAAATATATTTTAAGCAGATAATTTTTTATCAAAAAAAAAAAAAAAAAAAAAGTATGATGAATTAAATTTCAAAGTCACGTATCTTTTATAAATGTTATTCAATTGATCATGATCGAGTATTTCATCTGTGCCAAGTTTAACGAACACACTTGTTGAACATCTCGCTTTATCTGAAAAAGCATTGTAACTGTTCACTTTGATATGAATATCATGATATAATTGAAGAAAAATCAAAGTAGAATCTTAATGCTTTTAAATTTTAAGTTTAAAAAATAAATAAGATAAAATATTATTAAAAAAATCAAATATATGTTATTTTATACATAATAGATATACTTTTACACAAGTATTATTTGTTTGTTTAAAAAATTGCAATTAAAATTTTTTATAACAAATTTTAATTTATCATGTTTCAAAAATTGAAAAATAAATAATTTAATTAAAAATGATTTCAGATAATTATAAATGATAATCAATTAATCATATCATATTAAATTTCTATAAATGTTTTCAAAATATCT